AGAATACATTTGGAGACTAAGATCCATAAACAAAGCAAAGCTCATGCATCAAAAGCCTCAAAATAACTACTCTCTTCTATAGTTAGGCTGGCAAAGTATCAAGGAAATGCTATATAACATGTCGAACCTCAAATTTCTTATCAATGTTGGCATAGTTCTCACCTTAAATTCTTTCTTATATATCTCCAGCATAGCAACTGCTTTTGGCAATGACTCTCCCTCAGTAAGTGCTGTAGCCACTGAACTTCCAGGCTGAACTACATAAAAATTTTGAGTTGCATTCCACTCAGGCTCGACTCGGCATTCGTGTTCGTGACCCCAAATAACCAAGTCCAGAAAATTTGGCAAAAATTCTTCGGGGAGGTAATTTGTCGGGCCGTGCCGTGATCGATTTTGATGAATAAGAGCAAGAGAAAACCATTTTTCTGCACCTGCCACATCATCTTCTGGTCGAATGAATTCTACTGCATTGCTAACAAATAGACGATGCATCCGTTCTTCTCGGACAGAACCGATTCCATAAATGGCGATATTCGTGTCTCCCTTCCGAATAAGCAAAGGACGTATTTTTAATTGCTCGATGGATGGATTTTTACCAAAAAGATTAAGCAATCCGGAAGTGTGGAGAAGGTCAGCTGCACATAAACTACCAGCCCCAGAAGGATCATCGTGGTTTCCATGAATAGTAAAGATAGGTAATTTTATGCTTAAATTTGCATCAAGATAGTTGGCTGTAGGAAAAGTTGTGTGAGCAAAGTTTTCCCTGGCTTCACTCAATAGTTCAAAGGAAATGGGTCTCTCACCACTGCAGTACAATCGTATTAGACGCATAGCTTCATTTAAGGTGCCCAATGAAGGTCTGCTATCGTGAAATAAATCTCCAGCGAGCAAAATTAAGTCAACCTCAAGTCGAGAAGCCATAGAAAGGATTTCTTCAAAAGTTATAAAGGAATCCGTTCCACGAAGACCATCCTTTTCACCGAATCCCAGATGATTATCAGTTGAGACCAAGATCTTAAGGAGATCTGTTTCCTTCGACATGAGAGTGAAGGACTAGAAAAAATAAAAAAATAAGAATCCTCTTCCTAAATGCAGAATAAAATTATAAGAAATAAGCAAAATTTTCATGACGCCTGATTTTTTTATTGCCCCTACATACAAGCCACAACTACATCTTCAGAGCCCTGTTGTATTAATGTTCAAAATCATAAATCTAGATTTTGACATTGAAATCAGTTGAAATCTATATTTATAAAATAAGAAATATGAAACAAAGTAGTGGAATTTTTCTTAAATTCAATTTCATGGGCAATGCCTATAGGGAATTTGACTCAAAAGCAATATACGTCGTGGATTGCGTGGAATACTTCAAAAGTCTAGTTGACGGCGTAATCAAGAAAGAGCAATGGCTAATAAGATAATTTTTTTTTAAAACATTTATTAGTTTAAGCACTCACTCACGCCTATCAGTAATTAGTGGCATGAAAACTTAGTTGACTATAAAAGCACTATTATTAGCTATTCAAAATTTCA